GTGACGAGGAAGTACGGTTCTTTGGCAACCGCGCCAACGTTCCATTGGCCATGGAACGGACTTCGGGTTTGCGTGTGTCACCCGTTGACTGGCAAATAAACCTGAGACCCGGGTAGTTGCGTGTGTCCCCCGGCGAGGTGGTACGGATATACTCTGAAAGATTTGAGCTCGAGTCTGATGAGTATTTTTCCGAGGCGGATGGTCGGCGAGGGGGAGTTAGCATAGAGCTGCTTCGCCCGGCAGTCGGCGGCATCGGGGATCGATGTCTGGAGTGGGTATGGGATGACCGGTACCGAGAGCCGTGATATCGGTGACCGATGAGGAGTATGAAGATCACTTGAGGTCCTCGCAAACGATTTTTGCTTGGACTGTGGCGCCTCGTGTTCGACACAGGCATGAACGAGTTGTTGTATTTACCTACGTGTGATATACACGTAGAGACGATTGACGAACATTGTTTGAGAATGCTGATTGATTCAATGATGATTGATTTTATTGAAATATCCCGTCGCATGTATATGTATATTATTGACTATATTGCTTGGCCGTTTTCAATAAAAATAGAAATCTCGGGTTACACCCGAATTCCTCCCTAAGCACGTAGCTTAGGACGTTGTTATGCAACGTTTCAGGTCGTGAGCAGCAACAGTGACTGAGGCAGACACGGGACCCGGTGACAGCTAGACTTCCTGATCATGTATAATTATCTTTAACGCATTCTGTTTTCAAAAATAAAGAGTGGTGATCTTCGAACTTTTTGTGTTATAGTTTTCACACCACTTGTATTATGTACTGGTACCGTTCCAAGCGTGTGCGAACGTATTGATGTATTTTATAATGTCTTCCGCTGTATTATATTTAAAATGGATCGTTTTAACTTTCCCGCGAGTTTATATTTCGAAATTTTCCGATTGTGATTTTATTGTCCACGTGGCACAACCTGTAAGCGGGATACGGGGTTACGGGTGTCACAATTACTATACATATTGATATATATATATATATATATAAATACTTATTCGTAAATCATATTGGAAAATAATATAATCTACCCTAACCTAATGTGTTACAAAAAGTGTACTAAAACTTTGGGATTTTTTTTGGGAGAACATGCATTGTAAAATAAATAAGATGTTGAATTTAGAGAATTGCGATTATTTTTTACTTGTAAAAATTGTTATATGGACTATTTATTAACATGTTTATAGTGTGAAAATGATAAATTCGCTGGTATGTGTTTTTATTATTCGTAAATCATATTAGAAAATAATATAATCTACCTTAACCTAATGTGTTATAAAAAGTGTACTAGAATTTTGGGGTTTCTTTTGGGAGAACATGTATTGTAAAACAAAATAAAGTGCTAAATTCAAAGAGTTGTGAATATTTTTTACTAATGAAAATTGTTACATGGACTGTTTATTCAAGTACGACGAGTGTGTAACTAGTATAACCACTTAACTTCATGACCACTTTGATTAGTGTAATCGTACAACCATTTGACTGGTATGTGCACTTGACGGGTCTGACGGTGCGACGAGTTTGATGGTGCGATGATTTATGAAAAAAAAAGTTGATCTAAATTAAGTTTTGAAGGTTCAATTTGGTGTATAAAGTTTTGACCCAATTAAATACATATGATTAAAATTATACTCGTAAAGTAAACATGATTAAGTATAATTTATTAAAAAGAGTATCACTGAGAGACTGATAAATGTTCTTTAAATCATATACAAATAGAACCTACAAAAATAAATTAAACACTCATTGTTAGTTTTGTTTGACTAGTGTGACTAGTTTGACTAATTTTATCACACTAGTCAAACTCGTCAAACTGGTTATGCCCTTCAAATGCGATCAGTGTAACTAGTATGACCACGTGACTTTTTAACCAGTTTGACTAATGTGATCATGTGACCATTTCACTAATATGACCCTTTTGACCACTTTTATCAGATTAGTCAAACTAATCACACAATTCAAGTCGACCAATATTATTAGTATGACCACTTAACTTCTTGACCAGTTTGATTAGTCTAATTGTGTGTCCATTTCACTAGAATAACCAGTTGAAGGGTGTGACCACTTCACTGATATGAGCATTTGACGAATGTGACCCGTTTAACCAGATTTATCAGACTAGTCAAACTGGTCACACCATTCAAATGTGACTAGTATGACTAGTATGACCATTTAACTTCTTCCATATGACTCGTCTTCTGTGAAAAATATTGTTTCTCATTTTCTAACTGAAATCCTAATTATTTATCTATACAACTCGAATAATATGATCAATTTGATATGTTTTATCTTCTTTTATTGTTTACCTAGATGCATACACATAAGATTCTAAAAAAATATCCACATTTCTTGGTGAATTCAAATGAATACGCAAAAGAAATCGGAAACAATGAAGACGAAGCTATTTTGAAGTGAAGACGGTTTTACAAGAAGAAATCGTACAAGAAATCACCAAATAAATCGTACCATTAGAGAGAAATTGTAGAAAAAAATTTACCGAAGAAGAAATTACAGAAGAAAATGAAGAAGAAGCTGGAGAGTTTTAAAAAAAAGTTTTATTTCTCCTTCCTTTTTTTATCTACTCAGATTTTGACATGTGTCCTTTTTTTTTTTTAATGATAACAATGTTTTCTTTCTTTTTTTTCTTTCTTCATAGATTCTTCGTTCTGATCTTGACACGTGGCCTATTCATTAATGGTGTTAATGTCTTTTCAGCGTTTTTCAATTTTTTTTAAAACCTTCAAATCTCAAGGGTACTACTTAAAGTGACTGGTGTCATTTAAAGGCATTTCTGTAATATCCCCTATTAAACATAAGATTTCGAAATATTATCGTATACATCCCTGAGTAGATAACTGAATTTAGAAGAGATTTGCTGGCGTGCAATGCATTCAATTTCGCGAAGGGTTTCTTGCTTTTGCTTTTAGCTATATGTATTGAAGGGTCTGATACAGTTTGGTGCGTTTATTAAACAGATTTTTGGTGTAAATCTCTCAAATATGAGAAATACATACATTAGATATATATATATATATATATATATATATATATGTGTGTGTGTGTGTGTGTGTGTTCTTGGTTCAATTTTTGAATTTCGGTTTGCTTATTATATGTGATAAATACTTAACAATCCGATACAAAAAAAAAGTTACAATTACGCTACAAGGATAAGAGTGTGGAGATCTTATTTTAAAGTGTACAACCCGAACACAGAACAGTGATAATATTTATGCCAAGAACAGTGAGGCTTTCGAACTGTACAAGAAGGATTCAAATGGCACGTGAAATCAAAATTCGAAAAAGGAAATAGAAATGGGAAAAACAATAACAATGAAGGTTAGACCTGCAAGGCGGAAGCGATGGATCCAGCGAGGGTGAGAACTTCGAAAGGAGGTTTGTTCATCACTTCCTTCACGGTTAACGCGCACGAATCCGTTATCCAGAAATACGTAAGCCCTTCGGCCGGATCCCCTGCACCAGACGAAAAGATCCAAATCTCAAAACATACGCTCGGAGTTGGATGGATGGATGGACGGATGCTTATGGTAAAACTATATTTATTATGATGACACCTCCATTCGCATGCTTGAAACGTTTCCATGAACTCTTTGGGAATATCCCGTGCGTTACGTACGCGCTTATTCTCGCGGCTCCATGTGCAGCTAATACTTTCTGATTGAATTAAAAAAAAACACAAGTATGGGGAAGAATACGTAAGGGCTTAGGTTACTCGATGAATGGATCGATTTTTCGGTTTCGTTATGCATAAATCGAACCGGTCTAAACCGATTGATACCAAACCATAACCGAATCGAACATGATATAGAAACCAAATGGTTCTGATTTTTTTAAACCAAAAAAACAAAACCGAAAGGAATATAAAAATAACCGAAAAAACCCGAACGGACAATTAAAATACCCACACCTAGATATAACGATGGTTAGAGTTGGAATGAGGACCTGGCATTCGAGTAGCGTTCCGCCCGACTGAACCAAATCGTCGACAATCACGACATGACGTCCTTCGGCGTCTCCCTCTTTAACGCGGACTATTCGCTTATCTCCTATCCTAACTTTATTGCAAACAATCTGCATACAAAAAGTTATGAACTGAATGTTAGGTCAGGCAGTAAACAGAATTTTCTGCCCTTGAGATAGGAATATGGGTCAGCTAAAAAGATGAGGACGAAGAATCTGTATCGGCAAACAAAAACCTGAAACAAAAAAACCCAGATTGCATAAAAGCTTGATCTAATCCACCTTGTGGTCCTTAACAACTCACTGGATGTGGTGCAAGTGCAACCTCTGAGTGTGATGTGAATGTATTTGTTTAACAATTCTAACGGCAAACCAAAGAGACGTCATACCGTGTTTACCAGTTACTTTCATATGGTACAAGTATGATTCCCGGGTGACCTATTCTGGAGTGAAACTGACCAAGCATAGAAAATATAATACCGTGGGGAAATGTTGGAGTTGTTTATGAAAACGTTTCCATGCACCGTCATCCGGGAATGCTATAGATATCTGAACAAATACAAAAAAGGATCTTCACAGATGAAATTTTGAACAAATATGTATTCTAAAGAGTCCCAGAAAAACTTTTCTTTCAAACATTCTGATCTCTGATGGAAACGGACAAAAGACGACTCACATTATCAGAATCGGGTAGTTGCTGGAGTCTGTTTTTAAGCAATGGTATACCGCTTTCGAAGCACGGCAGTATATTATCGCCAAAGTAGAACCTTTCCTAAAATCAAAACCAAGAACAAAACGAAAGCTCGAGGAAATCATAAAAAATGCAGCAATAAAAACACAGAACTAAAAACAAAGACAGGCACTGGATGATAAACCTGCAAAGCATGTATATCAAAGGTCACTAAGCTAGTAGGACCTCCTCTTGAAATAGGTATGTTTGAAAGGATCCTTGCAAGAGTGAATGCGGTGGCGACATCTCCTTCATCTTCCATTCTCTCCGAAGTTCCGGTTGGGAAGAACGGAAGAACGAGTGTGAACGAAGAAAGGAAGAGCTTAGGCAATGCATAGATAACCGAGAGCTGTTCAAAGATCACGGCGGGTGAACTAAACGAAGCCAGGAAGGCGACGTGTTGTCCACGAATGCCTTGTGCATTGTGTATGAACAAATTGGGAAATCCATCTTCAAATTTCCTACAAACAATATCCATTGTTCTTACTCCCTGATCAAGAAATTAAGCATAACCAATTATTCATATACATCCAAGTTATCCTCCTGAGCTCATAACCTAAATTTAGAATTTCATATATGATTTAGTACTACTAGAGATAGGCCATGGAACCAAACACAAATAAAATAAACTTTGAAATTTCCAAATGCTTCCTACAGAACTGAAAAAAGTAAACAAAAAACAGATTTCTGAATCAAACCTAAGATTCTGCGATCATTCAATACTGATTTCAGTGAATCATATGAACATCAAAGTCAAAAGTTCATGATTCACCAAATAGAAAGAGAGACAACGAGGAACTTTACTTCCAATTGATGCGTCGTAGCTCAATGAAATCGGACTGGGCAGCGATTCTCTCGGCGAGATCCTTAGTCTCGTCGCAGTAGAAGAGGCAAACTCGTTTCACGCACTTCGTGGCGGATTCCGACGAGGACGCAGCCGCCATGGACAGAGAGGCGGAATTAGAGGATGCAGAATTCGGATGAATCACGCTGATCGGATCGCCATTGGAGAGGAAATCGAGAGCTCGATTCGCCGATTGGCTCTCGAAGCTTCTGACACTGCACCTCACCGAGCGGACAACATCGGTCGTAGATTTGGGATTGAGGAAATGCAGAGAAGAAGAAGACGAAAACAAAGAGGAAGATAAGCAGCGGGGTGGTAGAGAGAGAGATTTCCCGGCGGTTGGAGTGGCCGGAGAAGAAGCCGCCATTTCCGAGGATCAAGAGCTCGATTTTCACGATGGATATCGTCATACTATAAATCCGACCTTTCCGCCTTATGATGGAAATGACATCTGACATGACGTCACATAAATTTACCAAAATACCCCTATCCGCCAAACATGACACGTTTTATCTTCGAGCCTCCGTTAGGTTTGATTTCGGTCCGGTTTAGCTAAAGTTAGGTCAACGCAAACCAAATTTCTAACCAAACACAAATCCGAAACGAAGTAAACAATTCTGCTGGGTTATGTTCTAAGTTTCAGTCATTATGGATGAGTAGTATCGTTCGGTTTACAGAAAAGTGAACCGGATTGATTGCACCAAGTAACTGAGATTGAACGGTTTAAACCGGTTTGGTTGAGATGTACAAATATGGACCTAACAAGTGGCAAGGCATTTATCACGCGCGCGAAATAAAAACGCATGATGAAACATAGATGTGTTTAGGTAAAGAAGACAAATTCAAGACTAACAATATTCCTGCGAATATATTTCAATATTGTATTCGTAGTCAACAAAATGCTACAAGAATAGGTCTAAATCGTGTTTCTATATGTATATGTGTATATATATATCGACAGTGTTTCTCTATTGTTGGAAGTAAATTTAGCCATAGATCCATACCCTTTGATCGATTAAACTTTGGTTAAAATAATTTTTTTTTTACGTCGTCAAAGAGCACGAAAAAAATCCACTTGTGATGATCGAGTTTTGTAACTCTAATTGTAGAAGTTGGTTCGGGATCTTACATATCCTAGAGATCCCAATTCGAATCACAAGGCGGAATCAGATGATACCTTTAGTTGTTTTAAAGGTTATCTCCAGATATTGGGGTTAGTTGTGTAGAAATCTATGATATTTTTGTTTAGAGAGCGGACGAAACAAAAGAACTGATTGATCTTGTACTTAAAGGAGGCTAGAACAATCTAGGGTAGAAGATGAGTTTCTAAAAAAGAACATACTCTTTCTTGTGTATTTTCTTTGTGATTTTTACAGAATATATGCACAAAAAGTAAACGGCTATGCACAAATATACATGGAAAGGAAATATGTCAAACTTAACAAATGGAAAGATTACAATTGCGTTGATCTTCAGTCTTGGGAATTTCCTGATTTGGAAGATGTTGACGTTGAGGATTTATTTACATGTATTACGTTGATTTGTTGCTGATAATGAGTGTCCTCCAAATCACCATCATATGTTGTATCACCATCGTCCGAGTGTGTCGTATCACCTAAGTTACCAAGTGTATATTGTTCTCCGATATTCTCCCTCAAGATTGGTGTGTCGATTTCGACGAGACCAATCTTGGAGAGACAATGGCGAAGGACATGGGAGCTAGTTGCCTTGGTTAAGACGTCGACTAATTGGTCTTGGCTTCTCGTGTACATTGGTGCGATGACTCCTAACTGTATCTTCTCGCGAATAAAGTGGCAACCGACTTCAATATATGCTTTGTGTGTTCGTGAAAGATAGAGTTGGCGACAATATGCAACGCGACTTGATTGTCGCAGTGTAAGGGAGTGGGCTGCGTATTCTCGATGCCAATGTCACGAAGAAGTTGTTGGAGCCACACGACTTCACTTGTTGTGTTTGCCATGGCGCGATATTCGGCATCTACGCTTGAGCGAGCTACTACGATTTGCTTCTTGCTACACCATGTGACAAGGTTTCCTCCGACGAATGTGCAGAACCCCATCGTTGATTTTCGATCTAATCTATCTCCGGCCAATCCGCATCACAGTATGTCATGATACGAGTGTGCCGATTATTTTTCATTTGCATTCCCTTGTTCGGGGTCCCTTTAATTTAAGATATTTCAAGATATGATCCACCATATGTCAGTGATCCATTTCTGGGACGTGCATCCATTGGCTGACCTGGTGAACAACAAAACTTATATCAGGGCGAGTGATAGTAAGATAGATTAACTTACCTACTATACGGCGATATTGTTCCGGGTCATGAAATGGTTCAACCTCCTTTCGATCTTTGAAATGCTCCTCTATTGGTATGTGGACCGGTTTAGCTCCAAGCTTACATGTATCTCGTAACAAATCAAGAATATATTTCCTTTGGGACAAAAACAAACCGTTAGTAGTGTGAGTTACTTCAATGCCAAGAAAATATTTAAGTGAACCTAAATCAGTAATCTCAAATACTTGTTGTAAATATTGTTTTGTTGCTTTTATTCCATCAACATCACTACCTGAAAGGACGATATCATCAACATAGACCAAAAGAACGATAATACCTGAGTCACTTAGCATAGTGAAAAGTGAGTGATCTGAGTCGCTTCTTGTAAATCCCCGAGCGATCAGAGCTTGATAAAATTTATGATACCATGCGCGAGGTGATTGTTTAAACCCTAAATCAACTTATAGAGACGGCAAACTTCACTAGATTTCGTCTTGTTGTATCCCGGAGGTGGCTTCATGAAGATTTCCTCATCGAGATCGCCTTGTAGAAAGACGATCTTGACGTCCATCTGCCATAATTGCCATTAAAGATTTATAACCAAAGAAATGAGAATACGTACCGTAGCGAGTTTGGCAACTGGGGCGAAGGTTTCAGTGTAGTCTTTCCCGTATGTTTGAGTATAACCCTTGGCGACGAGGCGAGCTTTGTATCGATCGATCATGCCGTTGTTGAGGTGTTTAATTTTATATACTCATTTACAGCCTACGACTTGCTTTCCCGGTGGTAATGTCGTGATATCCCATGTTTTGTTCTTTTCGAGGGCTGAAATCTCATCCATCATAGCACGTTGCCAAACTTCTTTGGACTTGATGTGTTAGAACAATTCGAATGGTTGTGTTTGTCCTTATAGTTAGAACAATTCAAATAAATGGATATGTTATAACACAACCATTTACTTCGCTCGTGCGTCACCTTTTTTAATGACGCAACCATTACGTCACTATTTAGTGACGTATTAGTGACAAAAATATTTTGCCACTTTTGCGTCACCATTTTAATGATGCAAACTTTGTCTCATTTTTATTCGTCACTAATATGTCACCACTTTAATGATGCAAATTTTGTCTCATTTTTTCAATGTTTTCTAGTAGTGAGTCATATATCTAAAAAATTAAAATTTAAGGACTATTTTACTCAATTGGTTTAGAATAAAGATTGTATGATTTTGGAGATAATGACCAGGCAACGTATCTTGATTCGAGGAGGATTTGTTATAAACTTATGCATTTTTCTTGGAATATTGTTGATTTTTTGGAAGGTAAAGAAGTAAAATACAGTTTCGAAGGTATTACACAAGTAGAGTATCATGCTCTTGCCAACACAATTTGTGAAAATTATATAGCTAAATCATCTTTTGATAGATTTGAAGGTTCCTTTTCAACTCAACTTAATCTCTATTATGATAACAAATCTACATTATCTTGTATAAAATTCTATTTTTCATGACAAGGCAAAGCATATAGAACATAAAAAGACAAAGCATATAGAACTTGATTTTCATTTGGTGGGAGAGAAACTGTAAAACGGCCTAATTAAACCTTTTCACGTTAAGACTTAGAATCAATTAGCAGATTTGTTCACAAAAGCTTTACAATTTTCGTTGTTTCAATATTTGTTTCAGATGCCACATTTGTTAAGTTTATTTATTCGGCAGGCATATTAAATATATAGTTTTTACACCTTCTTTATACACGCGTGTATTTTGTTGGATTTGAGTTTATTTGATAGGATCAAAACGGGCCTTTTTCGTGAAAAACCCGGTCCATGGAAGTTTCTAGAAACTTTGATGGAAAAGCTGCATATTAATGAGAAAATATTCTTCATTGATTGCAAAATCAAATCGTAATAAAATCTGCAGAAAATTCATTGATTATGGTAAATATCAATCAGAATAATATCAAATTGGAATATGATTGATTCTACACATTAATGTGAGATATTTCATCCACTAGTATAAATAGAGGTCTTGGTTAGATCATTTTATACACCACACACCACAAGAAAACAAAACATTGGGCATTCACATCTCTTCTCATATCTCTCTCTGAGTTCGCTTGGTATTCTGGAAAACTTCTCCAGAATACGCAGTCGTTATATCCTGAAAGTTCACCGTACTCTAATAACCTCGATGTTTTAGAGGTGGCATGGAAATCGAACTTAAGAAAACTGTATTTCACAGGACTTGACAATAATCTTTTATTGTAGGTACTTATCGGAATCGTTCGAATTACCGAAGTTTTGTCGTCGTTAACAACTGTTCCCCAACATATTTAAGCAATGTCGTCTCTTAACGTGTTCAATAGGTGCGACTGTACAGAGCCCCAAAATTTGGGAGACCCAACTTAATTTTAAAAATATTAATAATATATATTATTAAATGTAATTATTAATGGAAAAATAACAACTTTTTTTCCGTTAACTATTTTAATTAAATAAATTATTAACAATTACGAATCGTCACTTCAGTAAAGCATTTATTAAAACTAATCATTACAAATTTTAAAATAAAAATATTAAATAATTTATTAACGTTAACAACTTGTTCAATAAAAATGCAAGATTATAATCATTTATCATTACATTTTGAGATATCCATTTAGCTTTCAATTACTCTTCATTTATTTTGTTCTTAAAAACTCAAAGATCATTTTTTATTTGTTGTCAAGAGAATAACATGTAACATTAAGGTACTTTTAAATTTTCTATTTTTATTTCAATTGTTATTTATGTGATGATTTTGTTTATATTATTAAATGCTAATAATATTGTTATTTATTTTCAGGTTTGATTGTGGAAAGAACAAATTGGGATACCAAACAGAATTTATAATTTCCAAGTTTTTTCTTAGATTTGTCTTATTTATTTTATTAAGTATTTAAATTTAAACATGTCTTCCAAAATTAGAAAACATGATTTTGGATTTGAAAAACGTAAAAAACAAAAAAAAGAATTGAAGAATTAATTCAATCTCAAAAAGGAGCTTTAGATCAATTTGTTATAAAAGAACCACAAACTCTTAGTAAAAAATGAAGATAAGATTACAAATAATATAATAGATATGAATGAAAATGATGATATTGGGATTATTGATAATAGTGCTAATTTACAAAACGAAGAAAAATTTTCTTATGAAACTAATATACATGATATTTTAAAAAAATTAGAATAATCTTGATTCTAAAATGATTGATATTTTAGTAGAAAGTGGTCCTAAACGAGATATGAATATTGAAAAAGGTAAAAAAGATAAATTTTCTAGGCGATTTTTATCAACATATTATACTAGAATTTTATCAAATGGTGAAAAATGTGATAGAAATTAGATTGTTTATTCGAAAGAACTCGATAAAATATTTTGTTTTTGTTGTAAGATATTTTAAAAAAATATTGGAAATGGCCAATTAGCAAATGAAGGTTTTGGAGATTGGATACATCTTAGTTTTAGACTTAAAGAACATGAAATGAGTGCGGAACATATAAAAAACATAGTCACTTGGTATGATTTGCGTTTAAGAAATTTTTTTAAAATCAAATTATTGATAAAATAGCTTATATACAACTTATGAAAGAAAAAGATCATTGAAAAAATATCATGTTTAAAATTATTTCAATTTTAAAATTTCTTTCAAAACATAATTTACCATTTCGTGGAACAAATAGAAGATTATTTGAAAATAAATTTTTGAGTTTGATTGAAATATTGGCAGATTTTGATCCAATTATTCAGGAACATTTGAGACATATTACAAATGATAAAATTCATCATCATTATCTTGGTCATAATATTTAAAAATGAACCAGTTCTTTTACTTGCTTCTACAATTAAAAATGAGATCATTAGAAATGTAAAGCAAGCAAAATATTTTTTTGTTATACTTGACTGTACTCTAGATAGTAACCACCAAGAACAAATATCTTTGATAATCAATATGTGAATATTGTAGAAATTTGCAGAATGATATGTTTTATTGATAATCAAAATAATATATAAATAGATGAGAGTCTTACATTGAATAAATAAAGTAGATATAATAATAAATATTTCTAAATATATATATTCCGGATTTGATAAGATCTTCATTATTCGATATATCTCGTAATATTCTTCAAAATCCGGTATATCTCAACAAATATCTCTTATGATCCTGTTAAGATTGAACAATCGTTTATGTGAATGGTACAACTGGACAAGAGATTTTTGATGTGTTAAAAATGAACTAAAATCACTTGATCTTGATATAGATAATATAAGAGGACAAGTTTATGACAATAGATCAAATATGAAAGAAAAAATCAAGGTGTACAAAAAAACTTTTAGATGTTAATTCTAGGGCCTTTTATACTCCTTGTGGTTCTCATACTCTATTAGCATTATGTGATATGACTAACACATGTGATAAATCTAAGGATTTTTTTTGGAGTTGTACAAATGATATATACAATTTTTTCTAATTCTACTAAATGGTGGCAAATTTTGAAAGATAATGTAAAAGTATTGTCTCTAAAACTATTATTATCTACTCGTTGGAAAAGTCGTGTTGAAAATATTAAAGTGATTAGATTTCAAATTTTACAGAAACAAAAAACTCTATAAGAAATATCTGAAATTGATAATGATTCTAAAATAAGAAGTGAAGTTAAATCATTAGCGACAAATGAGCTTGGTGATTTTGAATTTTTTATAACAATAGTTATTTTGTTTGAAATACTATATGCAGATAATTTGGTTAGTAATCATTTACAAGCATATTCGCATATTGATGTTGTTATTCAAAAGTTAAAGGGTTTGTTTTTTTCCTTTGAAAAATATAAAGAAATTGGTTTTTCTAATGCTTTAGAAATTGCTAAATCGATCGCTACAGAGATAGATTGATCATGTATTTAAAAAAAGATGTAAAATTCGAAGAAATTTTTTTTTTGATGAGAATTTAGATGATGCATCTTCTAGTAATTCATTTTCTCTTCAAGAACTATTTAGAATATTACTTTTTATATATTATTGATCAGATACTTAGTTCATTTAATATGAGGTTTGAACAATATTAAGAATACGAAAATGTTTTTGATTTTTTATTTACTTCAGAAAAATTGCATTTTTTGAATGATACTAATTTAAAATGTTGTGATACATTTGAAAATGTTCTTAGAAAAAATGAACAATCTAATGTTGATGGAAATAAATTATATATGAAATTAAAATTATTGAGAAGAGTTTTACCTAAAGAAATGATGAAACCTATTGATATTTTGAATTTTTTGAAACGTATGGATTGTTTTCCTAATACAATGATTGCTTATAGAATTTTATTAATTATTCATGTTACTGTTGCATCTGCAGATAGAAGTTTTTCAAAGTTGAAATTATTGAAATCTTATTTGCATTGAACAATGTCTCAAGAAAAGCTCAATGGACTATGATTATACTCGCAATAGAGAACAATTTTTTAGAAAAAATTGATTATGAAAATTTAGTTGATAAATTTACTACAAATAAAGCTAGAAGAACGGTCTTGTTTAAATGAATGTTTAATACTTTATATTAACTTAGTTCATTTGTATATTTTGTTATATTAAATGTGTTTGTATCATTTTTAAATGTTTTTGAAAATAATGTAATATTTATTTTTTTAATTATATTTTATTATTATTATTTAATATATTAATTAATAATTTTTTATTAATCTAAAATTTATAATATGTATAAGATCTCCAAATTTTGTGAGAAGGTCCTGTATTTGAGTATAAACACACGTATATGTTCAAGTTGTATTTAAGCTGCCGTACGTTCAGAAATGAATTAACAAACTTTCCCTCTCCCTCATCAACACTTTCTCTCTATAAATATCTCTCTGTTCCCACTTTATTCATCACTTAGATCATCGATAAAAATCAAACCAGCAACAAAACTAAACCGGACAAATTGACATTTAACCACCACTCGATGCCATGTCATATATATATATATATATATATACATACATTTATGAGTTTGTTTTCAATAGTTTTGAATCATGTGCATGGTTAATGCATATTTTTCGTGGTATAATTTTTTTTTATGAAATGTAAATTCTATATATATATATATATATATATATATATATATATATATATAAGTAACAGAATTTGAATACAAAAACCGGTCTTGAATTTTCCGGAACTAAGCCTGCGGAACTGTATATATCTTTGAAGAACCCATGGTTTTGGTTCAATTATATGTATACACACACACGTGGTTGTGTTTTGTGTGATAGTATAGTTTACGGTTTACACTTTTTTTAAGTATATTCACGAATATAGTTACACGTGTACAAATTGATTGATCAAATGAGGAGCTGTTACACAACATAGAGAAATACATATACGCATATATATATTCACTCTAGCTTTCATTTGCTTTGACATGCTTTGTTTAAGGGAAAATTAGCAAAATTACACATTTTTTTGTGTGAAATTGGTAAAGTAACACTTTCATTTTGAATTTAGGGTTTAGCATTATGGATTTTGAATATCTAGCCTTCTAGAACATTTTGTTACATTAATTTACCTATGGAAACACTGCTTCGATTTCAACAACAATTACTATAATATAATATATACATAATAATATAGAAAACTCAAAATTAATACACGCACTTTTTTAAACATATAATAAATATATATACACACACATACACACACAAACAACTTAATGACAGCATTATATTTTTATTTATCTAGAAAAGATACTGTAATTTTACTCTCATGGGAATGAACTAAGCATTTAAAAGATAAGGAATTTTAATATTACCAAACTGAATATGATCGGATGTCTTGTCGTCAGTTCTTGGTTGACTATATAAACGTACCCACAATTACATGTCTCCTTTAACTTTCTCTCTCTCACAAACAAAAAGTTAAACACTTTCCAGTTCCCAGACTAATAAAACCCACAAAGAAAGATCGTAACTTTGATTCTTTTTCATCTTCAACGACCTTGTTTTTCCTCCAAAAAAGCTACATTTACAGCACAAAAAGCTCATAAACCTATGGGATTTTCCGGCAAACAAAAAAAATTCGACGGCGAAATACGCGAAACCGGCGACGGAAAAGAATGGGTCATCGCCGGAATTTCAATTCGTGCACCGCTGAAGCCTATACGAGCAAATCCAGTCACCAAACCCGAGGAAGCGGAGGATGAGGAGGTTGAGTTTCCGACTACTCCGACAGCGGTTTCTGTCAGAATTCCGGTGGTTCCGACGTGTCCTCCGCCTCCAAAGAAGCGAAAGCCGACGTTGAAATGCAGTTACGGCGGCGCTCGTGAGTTCTTCTCTCCGCCGGATCTTGAGACGGCCTTCATCCAAAGAGCTTAGCTAGTTACTTTCGATAGTTCGTATGTTAAAGTAATCCGACAAGTTCCATGTCTCTTCGCACATCAGACACTTAGGGCAACATTCTTAACATCCAATCTCTGCTACGCTTCGATCTTTGAAGTTAGTCAAATTTCACATATATATGAACTAGAAAAAGGGTTTAGTTGATTTTCTACTTTGAATTTAGGGTTTAGTTTTTTTAGATTTTGACATTAATCCAAAGTTTATTTGATTTTGGTTTTGTGGTTAGTTTTATTGGTGTTAAGAAGCTAATTAAGGGTAGTAAATAGTAATGACGGGTGGAAGTTCTATGTTCATGTACAGTTTTAGTTTTAATAGTATAGTATTAAATACAGTGAATATTTTATTATTATTTATTTTCGTGTTGGATTTTTTTCTTGATCTGGTAAAGAATTTAACAAAGTACACTTTCTTTGGCACTTACTTCCTGTGAAATTCTTTTTTTTTTTTTTGTCTTTTTTAAAAGTAGTCAATTTATAAATTATCAATCAATATATAGCTCACCATATAAAGGTTTCTCCTCTTTTTTTCCTCCCATTATTTTTTGTTGCTTTTCTTTTACTTTTAACATGAATTCTTCTTTCTCTTAAAAATTGTGGGGTAAATTTAAAGACTCAAGAATCTAGAATTAAATAATCTTTTATTGATTTTAGTTTCATGGGAAAATGGTAACTTGATTCTCTATCACCAAGAACCATTTATCATAAATATTTTTCTACCAATATCAAATTCCGTCAATATAAAAAAAATTATCAAAGAAATATTCGGATACGGATTTTATTGTAACACAAAAAATCCTATAAGAAAATGCTTCTTTTTTTTATGAAAGAAAATTGTATTTGAATTTGCTATTGATTGTATACCAAAATCTTGTAGATTTTGGATTGATTATAAGGTGTACTAAACGACATTTAGTTATGAACAGATACTTTTAAATTTTGCATATTCAAATTAATCCTCAATTTATTCCTAGATCAGCGCACGAAATGATTAAAAAAAAAAAATTCGCTTCAAAGATTACTCCATTTTTTAGAGGAAAAATCGATTTCAAGGTTCACTTTTTGTCTTCTTATAAAATTAGAATAATTTTCCACTGTTAACAAAAAAAAAAAAAGAAGAACAATTTTCCATATAACGACTTTCCTTTTCTCGTAATCGTGTCCTATCTGTCATCCTTACTATTGCATGTTCATGCGTAGCAGTGACACATGCATGTCAACATCCAAACACTTAGCCGCAACAAGTATCTTTTAACCCAAAAAGCAAGATCCATAACATTTTTAAAAATATTTTTAGTATTTATGATTTTTAATGAGAATTAAAAATATAAAAAATAAGACGCACAATTTTAAAGGAGAAGCTCGAGTTTTCCTATATGGAAATATTTGTGTGTATGTATGTAATATGTATATGTGTATGTATGTATTATGTATATATATGTATTATGTATGTATGTATGAATATTTATTTATTTTTTTATTATTTAATCATTGTTTTATTATTAATGTATTTATGTAATATGCATATATCTATATTGTATATATTTATTTTTTAATATTTTTAATATTGATGGACATTGACGTGAAAGGTGGTTTAGAATTTTTTTTCGTTTCCATTTGTCTACTTAAACGTTATTTCACACGGTTATTTTGGTAAAAAATTTAAAAGTATGAGAATATTCTTAAATAATTTAATTATTTAAGTTTTTTTAGAATTAAAAAAAATATAGAATTTAAACTGCGACAAAAAAAAATACAGAGATTTTTTTTGGCAATTTACCCAATTATCAATGTTCATTTCTAGTTAGATAATGTTACTTTTGTAATTTGAAAACGACTTTTCTACAAAATAAATTCCAAATGTGGATAATGTAGGAAAAAAATAAATTCCATTAGCGAAACGTGTACGTATCTCCTGCATGAAACCCTCCACATGTGAGAATGAGCTCTTTGGATTTGGAATCCTATGCTTTTGCTTTCACATCCTTCTAAATTCACGTAGATTTCTGAAATATTTCCACACTAAATTCAATTATTTTACATAAATTTTATATATACTTCGACCGCCTGTAACCTAATCAATTAGTTCCATATTGTATTTATGCAAGAATCCACAATTTCAGAACTTTTTATCTATGAGTTAAAAAAAGATTTATCATCAAATTATAATACTTTAACGTTATTAAATTCTTGTCAAAGTTCCCCGTAAATAAATTATAAAAATTGAAATTGGAAAATAAAGAATGACAAGTGGACTATCCGTTCACATTCACATAATTGGGTCAAAAAAATTGGACCAAACTCCTTAGTTGAACGACCAATAATTAACAATTAATTTGTCGGGTATTATATGTATATATATTATGGATAAAAAGATTAGCGACTGAATCACTACAGTATATGCTTGGATTTGTTATTTCGTATATATACAATTTTAAAAATATATAAGAAAGTAAATATAGTCGCCCATTTAATCCCCACCTCCGTGTCTTCGCGAGTGGATGAGGATGTGCAGCACCAGCACCATATAATATCAAAAAGCATATACTATAAAACAGTACCCATAGTGGATATATATATATATATTATATATATATAATACACGACAAAACATGTTTCATCAATCATAATATTCATAAAGTTTTCGTAAAGTGGATGCCAGATTTGCATTGAGCTTGGTGGTGCTCATTTCATTAATTGTGTGTATTATTATTATTATTATTATTATTATTATTATTGTTATTGTTATTTTGACCATTAAAATTAATTTTTTTTACACGCAATTTAAATTACCTTTTTCTTCATCTTGGTAAGTTTCGTAGAACTCATCAACTATAAAGAATTAGAAACCCGTTCTACCAAAATATTATTTTAAAAACTGTTATCACAAGAATAGAATTAGGCTCACCTTCACCTAGGGTCCTAGGGATCATAGTGTGTGTATATATATATCAATATTTAAAGAGACAAATTTATACATACATATGTATATAATATTTAATATTTATACATTACCATTATTGTAGTACTGTTACAATTTAAAGCGATGGTGAGAGTGAGGAATGTGTACGTCCACCTTGGATTTATTTTCTATAAAGTGACAAAGTTTGTGGAAGAGTCGTTGTGTTTCAATAACCAAAACAAATGTATTTATACATAATAATGGAAAATAGAAAAAGTAAACTAAATATCACATACATAAATATCCTAAATATAATCAATATTATCTTCTTGATTTGATAATATCACTGTAATAGTCCTTCGTTTAAAAAGATTATATACTTTTTTGATTTAATTTTGTTTCTATATTTTATATATTTATATTAATTAAATAAATCATTGTAAAATTTTATTTTATATCTATAAATATTGTAATATTTTATGTTGAATATTGAAAAAATCAACGATTTTCGATAAATTCAACGTTTCACGATCTTCACGTTTTAACTTAAGAGGGATATTAGGAGTTATGAAAGTTCTAAAATTTTCAATATAGGGGACCAAAAGTCAGATTTAGAGAATCTTTTGATATTGAATCGTATATATTCTAATGTCATAATTAAAAAAATATGTAGAATTGTTGGATTTTCATTATTTAATAAATATTGTAGAAAATAAAATTTTAAAATATTTTATTTAATTAATATAAATATCTAAAATATAAAAAATAAATGAAATTATAATATTATTAGTTTTGTTAATTCTTCGAATCTAAAGAATATATAATAAATACGCAAATTCTATTAAAATTCTGTATTTTTTTTCATCGCAATTTTAACGCTATATTTTTTGTTTATTTTATTAAATTCTATATTCGTTATATCTAATAATAAATACTTATATTTTAAAAAAATTAACAAAGAAATATCTAGATGAAAAATTGACTTTTGCAATAATTTTATCCTGTTTGAAGCCACTTAAGATTTAATAATACTAAATAATAAAAATAACAAAAAATTATTAACAAATTACAATAACATTAATAAAAAAATAAAATAAAATAATAAAATTTATATATACATACATATATATACATTTATATGCACATACATATATATACTCATATATATATACATACATATATGTATGTATACGTGTATATATACATATATGCATGTATACGTGTATATATACATATATACACATATATGTATATATGTGTGTATAAATATATGTATATATGTATGTATATGTGTATATATGTAATTATTATTTTGTTTTATTTATTATTATTATAATTTTTAATAGTTCTTTGTTATTTTTGTTATTTAATATTATTAAATCTTAGGTGATTGATGATGTATCATATGAGTATGATAAATTGTTGTAATGTCGATATTGAAAATTAGATATTATTTTGAAATCGAATAAACCAAATCTGAAACTAACAATCACTGATTTGATAAGAATGTTAGATTTTATGATAAATCACTTAGTGATATAATTTTCGAGTGAAATCAAATTGAAAATTTTTTATAAAAAAAAAACTAACCAAAATCCTTTCATTTTTTAGGGTTTTCTGTTTCTCTACAAGCCCTTATGACTTCTTTAGAAAAAAAAAACAATTGTCACAAAATGTTTCATATTTATACGGCGTCGTGGAATGAGCACATTGTTTATTGGGCTTTACCATAATGTTTTCTGCCGAAATAATATCCGTCCATGGGCTCACATAGAAACCTTTATTATACACGAACACAGCTTCCTGGATGTGTTACTTTCAAATTAATTAATTTTATTATTTTAAACAACGTTAAAAGGAAGAATTTTAACTCTATATATATATATATATATATATTAGTATTACACGTCATTTCTTTTGCATTTACATATAATTGATTGTTCATATATTTATTCTATATTTAATTGTAGGAAAATTTTCAAAGAGAAATCGAACTTATTAAAATTAAAACGTATAAGAAAAAAACTTTTGAAAGTTCGACAAATATCCTCAACTAATTAAATTGAAATGTTCTATGAAAAACCTTAAACCTATAAACTGCTCACAAATTAAACCGTTAACCAATTTGATCAAATATTTCGGTGACAAATATCTTTGATCGATTTTGATTTTATCCATGCAAATCATGTCAGAAAATATAAAAAAAAATATGTACACATATATATACACGAATATATACATACACACGTACATGTGTATATATAAATTTTGATTTATATATATGTGTATATCTCTATATATATAGATATATGTATTTTTTATTATTTATTTTCTAACGTGTCGTTTGTACGAAACGAAATTAATTTAGTCAAAGCCACGTCACAAATCGATATACCACGTGGCGTTTTACAAGTTAAAGTTTTTTTACAAAAG